AAGCCCAGGGCAAAGCCTACCCCTACCCCCATACACACACACACGTATAACATAAAAACTATGTACAATGCACCCTTTATTTAAAGCTATCAGGTGATGTAAGAAAGGTCTTATTCACGACTTTAACATCAAGATAGTTTAAGAGGTTCCACTGCTTTATTTTGATACTTATTTCTTATCAGTTATTGAGAAAAGAACAGAAACATGAAAGCTGATGGAAACTGATATATGTGCTGATGAATGAATGACATGCTTCTTTGAGCAAGATACGATTCTGACTGTACCTTTTCCTTATTCAGCTCTTTAAAGTTGAATTTTGAAAGGTTAAGTTTTGAGATTAATGAGTGAAAATAATACTAATAATGAATTTGAATTGCCCTTATATTATCAACGTGTTTGTCTCCTATGAATTATAAAGCATATAGGAATTATATAGGTATTATATATAATTGGGGGGTGTGTTATATACACACACAGACACGAGAAGTCTTCAAAAAGTTCATGGAAAGATTTTATCTTTTATTTCTATTTTTCCACGAACTTTTTGAAGTAACCACATATTATGTGGCATACTTATGAGATCATGAATTTGGGATTAGGTAGACCTGGTTTTAATCCCAGCTCTGCACTTACTCTCTGAGTTCAGGAAAAAGTGAACAGACCTCTGCATCTCAGTGGGTCTATCTGTAAAATGAAACCAATGACAGAGGTCATGCCGATTAATGGGATAACACATGTAAAATGCTCTGACACATTGTGAGTGCTGCCACTGTTAGCCGTGCATATTGCCCACTAGTTTACAACCAGCACAACCCAGTGATAGCCTCTGAAGGAAAACTGTCACAGCAGTTTGAAATTTTGGTGTTCAAAATTGCTCAATCATGATTCATCTTTTTTCAAAACGTTCAGAAAGTAGTTATTCATGTATGCACAAGCATACAAAGGTATTACATCAACCTACCTCTAAAAAAGGTAATGATTTATGCAGCTGGAATGCAGGAAGATGTGGGAATATCACTAAATGTTTTTTATTGCTGTTTGTACATCCATCCCAGGGCTTTCAATATGGGTACTAACTGTCACAAGCCACTGGTTCATTGCCCAATGGCCAATGGGCATTGCTGTTTGTACATCCATCCCAGGGCTTTCAATATGGGTACTAACTGTCACAAGCCACTGGTTCGTTGCCCAATGGCCAAGTGGAGCCAAAGAATTTTATATTGCCCACTAGTTTACAACCAGCACAACCCAGTGATAGCCTCTGAAGGAAAACTGTCACAGCAGTTTGAAATTTTGGTGTTCAAAATTGCTCAATCATGATTCATCTTTTTTCAAAACGTTCAGAAAGTAGTTATTCATGTATGCACAAGCATACAAAGGTATTACATCAACCTACCTCTAAAAAAGGTAATGATTTATGCAGCTGGAATGCAGGAAGATGTGGGAATATCACTAAATGTTTTTTATTGCTGTTTGTACATCCATCCCAGGGCTTTCAATATGGGTACTAACTGTCACAAGCCACTGGTTCATTGCCCAATGGCCAATGGGCATTGTTTACATTGTGACCTGAAAATACAGATCTTTGTTCCACCAATGGGTAGGAAGACAAGACCAGAGGATGGGATTTTTCTTTACTTTTTTTAAGTCAACAAATTGAACCTCTGATTGGCTCAATGAACCATTTAAAAGTTAAGTCTCTAATTCCAAGCCCCTTTGTTCTGCTGTGGCAGAAAGAAGTGATAAGGAAAGAATTATACCAGACCTCTTTGTGGAACTAAGCCAGACCTTGATTTTCCCACATGATTGGATCCTATCTCATTAAGAATCTAAATACACTATAATGTAGCAAAGGCTGCAATTCTAAGAGAGTAATCAGAGGTAGAATTTTTCAGATTGAAAGAATATCCAGGTGTTTAGAAAATCTCATAAGTCATATACACATATAGTCAGACATTCCCTTAGCACGGTTTGCTGACATTTAACAAAGGAACTTCAGGTTGTTATTTATCTTTCAACTACTTTTAAAACGTGTTGAGTACCTACTCTGTGCCAGATACTGTTCTACCTTCATGAAGCTCAGCCTTGTTGAATAGATACATAAGCAGTCATTCTCCCTGGACTATGGTAGGTGCCCTTACTCTGTGGCCTTTCACACTGTGTTTACCTGATCCGCATACCTGTTGCATTGAAGTTGCCTGTTACTTGTGTCTTCCCTTAGATGCTGTGCTCTTCTAGGACACAGCCTATGACCTGTTCACCATTATATCCCCAGCTCTGGCTCAATGTTGAATTCACACTGAGTGCTCAGTGATCCTGTTGAATGAGTGAATGCAATATGCTACATGCAATTATAGAAGCATGGCACAGCATCAAGAAAGTAAAGAGGCAGCAACAAATTAATTTAATTCCTGTGCTTCATGTTGCAAATTATTCTTTAAAAGCAAAAAAATAATAATTTCATTCTAAAGGTCTCACCTTAAAAAACTCTAGAATATTAAATCTTCAAACTTGTCAGAATTTGGATAATTTTCAAAAAGAGCAAATTAAGTTTTAATGAAGTGATATAAATTAATATTTTAAAGTTCTAAGAAAACTCATGTAAGGAGATTATATTTTCTAAATATTTACTCAATATTGGTTACAAAGTCCTTTCACACAGATAACAATTAAGCAACAATAAAATTGGGAAATAAAGTAAAAAATCACCTATAATTCCACTATCTTAAAACATGAATTGTTTTATCTGTTCTTAGTTCACATCTATTTACATTCATGAATTTTACTTAGCTTTAAATGTAGCATGAATATAGTTTTGCATTTTTATTTTTGTTTACAAGAATTCATATGTCTTTTAGAGACTATAAACCTTATAAGGTGAGGATTTCTAACCACAGAATCCTAGATTAGGAATCAAAAGTTATAATTTCGTTTTATGTTTATCATTACAACAAGATCTGGGCTAAAAGTAATTCATTTTATGGAATGACTTGTATTGGAAGAATCTGATATAGGATATTAAATTTATTCATTTCTTTTTTTCTGAATGAAAAATCAGCACACAAAAAAAGTAGCTTCTGGGAAATCCCATTATGTCTGGTCATGTATGAGAAGTATCTCTTCTTATCCACAGGTACCTTCTGAATACCTCCACATGGTCCCAGTGCATTGAACCCAAACACGTCGTGGAATGGAATGTAACTCTGTTTTCTATCCTCTTGGCTCTTGGCGGAATTGAATTTATCTTGTGTCTCATTCAAGTAATAAATGGAATGCTTGGAGGTATATGTGGCTTTTGCGGCTTTCGCAAACAGGTAAGAACATGTGTGAAAATGTGGTAGTCTGGCCCTGCTGTATTCAGTTACCACAATGCACCATTATTCATTGCAGAGAAAAAGACAAAACCAAACACGCTCAATCTACCAGCATTTACTCTGACATCATCCTTGTGGCAACACATCTATAGTATTCAGTTTTGCTCTCAGTAATAAGCTTCCTTGAGTCTCACAGTCTCTGGGTTATTTTGGTTCTTTGTAGTTGGCTCTACATGCGTGGGAACAGGCTGCCCATAGACATGGTGCCCGCTTCTGGATCGAATCCACTGCCCCTTTCACAACTCCTGCGCTGGCTGCAGACACACAAAAGGGATGCCCCCAACAAGTATACACAAATAACAGCCAACGTTTCATGGCATCAGGCACTGTGATAAACCCATTTTTCAAATGAAATTATGACTCTGAGATTAAGCATAGATAAAGATCACTAAGCCTGGAAGTAACAGGCTTGAACCCCTGGATCACTTTATGCCAGAGCTCTTGCTCTTTACCTGTATGCTACACTTGCTGTTCTGTTGGATTTTCTACAATTCCTTCCTTATAAGGAGTCCCCAAAATGCCTAAGCAGATAAGCATGGAGAATCACTAGCAGCCTTTGAATAGCAGCACATGAAAAGCCTTTCACTGTGAAAGAAAACCAGGAAGCACTTGTTTCCTGGGGATATGATTTAGGAGAGAAATATGCATTTGTTTGTAGGGGGGAATGTTCTTGTTTCTATATCCTTCTAAAAGATATATATTATTGAATTGATGGAAGCCCAGCTTTGGTCCAACTTGGCAGGGGGAGGTTATTTATGTCTCATTCTATAAAATGGGATAAGGAGAACAGAACTTATTTAATTTATATCTTCCAAGCCATTTACTCCTCTGTTTCCAAGTCTGTTAACTTTCTTTTAAAATAAGACAAAAACATAAGGGAAACTAAAAGTTCCTTGCTACCATGAAAAAATTTGCTGTAAGTAAATGAAAATTTTCTATAATTTTTGAGAGGAAGTTAAAATAAAAGTCTATTTTTCTTATCGGAAAAGTGCAGCAAGATTAATAATTTCTTTGGAATCCTGCCAAATTTTCAAGAAAACAACAGTGTAGGAACCTTTCAATATGGAGTTGTTTTCAGGCAATGTGGCTGGGGAGTGGCAGAGAAGAATCTTTTTGGGATTACTGTAACACAATCTATTTTTAGCTTGAATTTCATAAAAGGCAGAGTTTAAACTGAGTTCTCACTGGACTTCAGTGCTGGTGCATTTTGGGGACAGGCATAAAAAATCAATGGCCAAGATTGCGGAAGTGATTTGGCAGAGCGACACTGTCCTCTGGGTTGGGGGAGCAAATACACTGGGTTTGCCATCTGAGTCACTGTGGCTTCTGCTCAGACCCTGCAGGGAAGATCTGTTACTTTTGTTTACAAAACAAAGACACTTTCACAAGGCAGAGCTTTTACTATAGAATAGTCTGGTTCATAACTCACTAGTGTTTAATTTGAAAGGTTACCCACATTGAGCCCAAACCAGTGTGAAACTCCCATCACATTATCTTTTAAATCCCAAAGATTAAAACCCCACACAAACACATTCAAAACCAACCCACTGCCGGTATCCTGCAGTTTCCATGGGCCCTTTCTGCAGCTTTGAGTCTGGGAGGACAATGGGTCTGGTTTGCTTAGGAAACATTTAATGAGCATTGTCTCAGCCCTAAGTGTGGCTGGCTGAAGCTCTGCTGAAGCTGAGATCAGTCTGCTTTATGTTTGTTTAAAACAGAAATTTAAAGGACTGAAATGTCATCATTGTTTGTTTATCCCAATTGTAACCTAATGTGTATTTCATTTTCTTTACAGCGATATGACTGCTAAAAGAACCACCCCAAGACAGAACCACAATTTTGCTCTATTTCATTGTAATTTATATATTTTACTTGTATTAATTTGTAAAACTTTGTACTAGTGTATCATACTCCGCATATTCTACTTTTATAAAGGTGTATAAAGACTGGCACCTTCACGTGATGTTAGAGTTTGAACTTAGCAAACAAACTTTTTTTTAAGGAATGAGCAAGCAAACCACACTCTGGAAGTAATTTACAGACTGGGTGACAGTCCTTAGCATATTGGAGATAAACCCTATAATGTTGTGATGAAAATCACATCCCAGTTACTATTGTATATATGTGTGTGTATTTTTTAAATGAAAGATGTCTAATTGCTTTTTTTTGAGACCAAGAAGGAGAAAATCCAACAACATGCAGAGCTGTGTTTTTTTCACTGTTTATATGGTGTTTCCCATTCATATGGCTACAAATCTCTAACAAGAGGCCTTTTGAAGTGCTTTGAGTTCTGTGAGAGACGAATACTTGCCCAGGATGGGAAGATTAATTGGGAATGCTCCAACCCAAATGAGTGAGCCAGAGCAGGCAGTGCTGCTAGATCCTAGACTTTTCTAACACGTGGACAAGCACTAAGGATCATGTGTTTAAAAAGAAAAAGGCTGGGAGAACTGGACAAGAAGATGGGAAACGGAATAAAGCAGTTGATCAGCATCACAGGAAAATGGGGAAGGGGAAGTGAGGGCAGGAGGGGACCATGAGGAAATAGCCCCAGAACTTGCTTGTTTATGACAAAATAAAATATTTACTACCATTTTGCTGTTGTTCAGTTTCATTGTCCTTACTTTAAAGTTCCTCTTTTTTCCTCCCTATTTTTTTTCCAGTCCGCAGGTGAAGTAGCCCCTGTTGCTAAGGGTTTTGTGTCTTCTGATTTATCTCACTTTCTCTCCCTCATCCCTCCTTCCTCTTCTTCCTCCTCTGCTATCTATAAATTGTCATTGCTGTGCTATCCCTTGGGGGCATCACCCTGGATAGGTGGCTTTGCTTTTCCGGGAACTTCAGGCATCAAACTCCTCGGGAGGGTAACAGTCGTTTTCTCTCTTAACCGTGTAGAGCTAGGTGCTTTTCCGGGAACTTCAGGCATCAAACTCCTCGGGAGGGTAACAGTCGTTTTCTCTCTTACCGTGTAGAGCCTAGGTTCTTTCTTTCTTTTTCTTTCTTTCTTTCTTTCTTTCTTTCTTTCTTTCTTTCTTTCTTCTTTCCTTCTTTCTTTCTTTCTTTCTTTCTTTCATTTTAATTTATCAATATACAATATAGTTGATTTTTGTGTCTCTTTACCAATTCCTCCTTTTCCTCCCTCCCTTTTCCCTCCCCCCATCAACATCATATCTATTCATTTGTCTTAACAAGTTCAAGGAATTGTTGTGATGTGTCTTCTTCCCTCTACCCCCCACCGACCCTGAGTTAGGTTCTTCCAAGTGACAGGATCTCCTGACCTGTTGGGAATTGAGAAATGTTCTGCTTTTGGTGTTCATTGGTGTGGGCAATGACAAGCAAATTAAAAAAGCTTCCCTTGCTGTCAGACAGCAGAGCTCCTGCTGAGGGCAAGGTGCCCTGTGGTGGCTCCTGGCTGAAGGCTCTAACCTTTTTTGTGCCACGGTCCCTCTGGCAGTCTGGTGAAGCCTACAGACTACTTCTAATAATTATGTTTATCAATACATGAAATAAAGTACAGAGAACTACAAAATAAACCAATATATTGGAATACATTATCAAAAAATGTTTAGAAATTATAGCGTAGTTGTCTTGGTTCCAGCTCCATCACTCCAACATCTGTAGACAGGCAGACAGTGATCACGTGTGTTCTCACAGCAGTCTAAGGAGTGAGTCTAAGAACTACCGAACTTTTGAAATATGACTTCAGTTAAAATGATATTTTTAGTTACCTGCAGCAACTTTAATGTGCTATGAAAACATATTCAAATTTTGTATTGTAGATCAAAGCATGATCAGTACTGCTGATACTACTTTGGTTTGTTGCAAAGTCATACTTCAAGAAAATACTAGATTTTGGTTAGGGGTTAGTAAAACATGACTTTTCCCATCCTAGTTTAACTCTCCCTCATCCCCCTCCAGATATCTTTCATGGGTCTCTTGGGAGTTCTTGGACACCAGGTTAAGAACCCCTGCAATAGAACATCCAAAAACAAAAAAGAAAGGCATAATCATTATTCATAAGCACCATTAAAAAAAAATAGATTGTTAACCTAGAGAAAACACATTAGAAAAAAATATTTCCAAACATGCTGAATTTATTTGGGAATAGAAAACAGAATTATAATCCGGAATGCATACCATGGCAAGCCATGAATGCGTTCAGTGAGGGAAGGGTAAGAGAAAGCTTTTATTGGCAAAAGGGGAGTTCACATAAGCAGCCTGGAGACAGAGTTCATTGGTTTCAGAGGCTCAAAGTCAGATATGTTGTCAGTTCATTGGCTGAGATGCTGTTACTGAACAGTTTCTTCTTGGAGCATCTTATCTGAATTACTGTAGTTCAAAAGAATGTCTAATGATAAATCTTGCCACAGAAATACGTGTGTACATGCAAAGAAGGAGATACACAAGGATGTGAAGGGATTTCTGTTGAGTTCTATAAAAGACCTTGGAAAGAGTTCTTATCTCAAACAAGCATGCAAGACATGACCTCCTCCTTCATGCCTGCCCCAGCCCTATTTTGTCTGGGTCTGACAAAGTGATTTCATCAACTTTCACACTATCCTCAAAGGAAACGGCAATAATAATTGTTAACCATTATACTAATAATAGTAATCATTTTCTGAGTTCCTCAACTTGTCAGTTATTGTAATTAGTTTTATATGTATTATTTGCCTACAATCTCTCAATAGCCGTAGAAGATGGCAACTTGTCTCCATTTTATAGAGTCAAAGCTCAGAGAGTTAAGTAACCTGCCCAAGGCCACATCTTTAGCAAATGAAAAAATTGTGATTTGAATCTAGGTCAGTCTAACTTGAAAACTTATGCTTTTCCTCCCCCTCTCCTCTGCCCCGCCTCCTCTGCCACCTCTGCCCAGGGGCTGGAGTTTTCTCAGCATTCCACACTGGAACTCAGACATTCCACCCACCTAATGGGGACTTTGACCAGCCCCTGTGACTCTCAGTCATCCTCATCCCAGAGCCCAAATTCAAGTGACTCAAAGTTTCCCTTCGTTTGTAAATTCCTTAATAGTAGACATTGCCATTGCCTAGAGGAAATAGCTTGCAAGAGTTTCCTTATATCCTTGTTAAATTCTGTTTATAGCCTACACTCTTAGTCTGTAATATTCTAGACCTCTCAATTTGGATGGAAACTCCCTCAGGGATTGTACCAAAATAGTTCATTACCATGGGCAACATACAAACAATAAAAGTTACTGTAGAATCTGAGTCACTTGAGTAACACACAAGGCCTCTGAGTGTCAATTTACCATAGTTACCAAATTTACAAATAACCACCTGCATAAAGGAAATCTATTGAATTGAAATCTAAGGAAATTGGTGAAATGTTACCACCTTCACAACAAATTGAGTTTCTTGTATGTGTGTAAGATCTCTTTGATTATGTTTTGTCTGACCCTGACACATGGTGGGAACAGGTATGGGATTGGATGTAACTTTTCAGAAAAGAAATCTGGCAATATATACCAACAATCTATAGTCTTTACATCATTTTTAAGCCAGTATTTTTACTTTCAGAAATTTACTTTAAGAGAATCATTAAGAATGCTCACAATAGTTCAGCTTCCAGGAGTAATTATGGGAGTATTGTTTATAATACCAAGAAAAATGACAAGAACCTAAATGTCTGACCAGGAATTGTTTTCATAAAATGTAGTCAGTACGATAAAATGATATAGAACCATTAAATCAGGTAAATGATATAGACCACAAATTGCATAAAAGAGAAAGTTTTGAAATACAGAAAAGGTGGTGTCTATATCTCTCTCTGTGTGTAAGTGTATATATTTATCATATATATATATATATATACGCTAAAAAAGTAATTTTAATCAGATACTAGGTGATTTTTGTCTTGATTCAATTTGCTCATCTCTACTTTCTGAAGCTTCTAACAATAAATGCACATTACTTTTGGAAAGAAAACAAAAATGTAG